AACCTCAGCCCACTCTATGACAGCTACTGGGCTTTGACAGAGACTTTACCTTTCTCTTTGGAGTGAATGGATGGCTGAGAGACCTGGAGAGCTCTCAGTGTGGAAACAGGTCACCAGGAAAGCCTGCTGCAGCCAGGATGACACATATCATTGCAACAGCAGCAAAGCCCGTTAATAGTTCCCAACTTTCCTGACCATCAGCCTCCCATTCACATCTATTTCTGCCCCAGTTTTGTAACCTCTAAAATTGTTCTGATGCAGCTGGTTTTGAAGTTAAGTCTAAGGTGCCCTCCCAAAAATATTTTTTAAAAAGAATTATTTCCAAGATTTTATTGTTGACCTGAAGCGGACTAGGATCATTTCCCAGCAGTATTGCAGCGCAAATAGACGCATTGGCAAAATTTGAGATGGTAAACTGCAACAAGAGGCAGTGATGTGCCTCTTGGGGGCTGGATAAGATGACCTTCAGAGATCCCTTCCAACCTCAACTGTTCTGTGGTGCTCTGATATGCGTGGCTACTGCTGCAGCAATCGTCAGGCTTCATAAGGATTTGTCCAGAACTTTTTTAATATCGAGATTTTTTTCAGAAATAAGAGAGGTTATAAAAAGTCTGATTAAGGGCCACTGAAAAGAGGTTGTTGGGGTCTTTTACTCAAAGAGTAAAAACAGGGATAGAACTTATTTAGAGAAGAGTCATGCCGTTGCCTGACATTGCAAGCGGGCACATATGCACATGAGGAACTCACTAGATCCTCTTTACATCTTTCCATTTGTAAGTACCATGAAAACAGAGCCCTACACATTTAGAAGACAGATCTATAAAACCTGGATATAGTTATCTAATGGGAGCCGATCCTCAGGTGAAACAACCAACTATTATGTTAATTTATGTCAGGAGAGGACCTGGTACTTCCTTTTTATTCAATAAACTCTTATCAGTCTCTCACAGTTTTTGCCAAATGCAATTACCCAGATCTTCACATTCAAAGTGGCTCAAAAACATAACATAAAACAGGATCCTAGTTCACAGTTAGGGCTCTGAGACTGTATAAATAACTGTAAAATGAACGGAGGAAAAAGCTCAGAATCCTCAAAATGACATAGTGGGCTAAATTCTCTTAATCGTCTGCCAATGTTCTGCCTGCCAAATTTACAAGATACGAAGAAAATGTTAATTGAACATGCGTGTGAGAAATAGATATTGCATATGGATCACAGATACCAACAAACAGAAAACTGCATATTGCCTAAGCAGCTGCACAATTTTTGCACATGCAGTTCCATATTTTGGGCACACATTGTAGCCATACTTTACAAACTTTTTCAAAAATATTTAAATAACAAATGGAAAATCCCCCCCCACGCACACACGCGCATTTGTGTTAGACATGAGAACAGTTCAGCTTCATGATCAGAGATAATAAAGTATTGTGCATTAGGTTTACCATTATTCTCACTCGAGTCAAAGTGTTGTATAGCACATATAATACTCAGCAGACAGATAGTTACTCATATCTACATTCATCACTTAGACATACATTTTAGAAAATTCTGCCAGTTGCCTATAAGAATTCAGCTGAATATCTAGCACTTAACGAGCCACAGTATCATATTTCTAGTATCTTATAAATGCCATCAGGAAATGTTAGGGTATTACTTCTGTGTTGTATACTGAGTCAGTTTGTCAAGCACCAGCATTTACAACTCTCGCTTGCTTCAGATAGTAGAAATATGACAATGTGTCAGAGAGCTGATGTAAGTAAAGGGAAATTATATTTATTCTCTGTTATAAGATTAATTCTAGAAGAAAGGCACCATGAAAGAAAGACAAATTTTTAAACACATACAAGGGGAGAGATTTATTGCTCATGGTGACACATAAACCAACCAGTGACTGACTGTGATACACAAGCATAATGAGACAAGTCCAATGCTGTATTCTTCTCCATCTTTTACTAGCCATCCTAAATGTAAATTTTTTTTTTCTGGGAAACTGTCTTCTTCTATTTGAATAATTGATTTAAAATTTGAAATCCTTCTGGGGCTAGGTTTATCGACATACAAACCTCCCATTGACTTTGGCAGCAGCCCCACGTACAAGTTGATAACAGCTGTGGACTTTATCATTCTGTTGCAATTTACTTAAGTAAAAGTGGTCTTAGTAAAACATGTAACAATCTGATATAGAGCTTTTTATCTTTTTAAACTTACTAATGATCAACTTTCTAATATCCCGTATTCTGATACAATCGAGTCATCAAAATGACTTGAATTTCTTAAGAAACAAGTATTGAACTGGGTGTTTTTATCTATTGCACCTGAGAAAATTATGTTAAGCCTAGGTAAAATGATTAAGATGAGGTAGACTATTTAATCTGACTAAGGGCTAACTTTGAACGCAGTGTTGTAAAAACTTACTTAAATTCTGTGGTATATTTGTGTGTATATTTTATTGTAATCATGTTTTTAATAACTAAAATTAACAGTTAAGCTGAAATTTTTTATTCACATGGTAATTGATGATCTTCATGATATTAATTCTTCTAGTTATAAAGCAGGTGACAATGTAATTGTATAGATTAACATAGTTCCTTGCAGCTGTAGTACCATGTTGAAGCGAGGCCCAAGGAAGGTTCTCCAGACCACTGAGGTACTACCCCACATTCGCTGGCTTTGGGGTGAAGCCCCTCACTGCGTTACCCCTCTGGGCTTTGAATCACTGGCCAGAAACTTCAGCAGCGGACGCTTTCTGCAAGGTATGAAGGAAATTGTAGTTGCCATAATGTCTGTTCTATCAAAGATGTATATTAAAGGTAGAGCTTGCAAAATGGAGCATGCTGATGTTTGCAAGATGACTGATATTGATCATTTAGCTTAAGTCATAGGGAATATACTAATTTAGCTCATTAACTTTCGCTGCCAGAGCTATAGGCGCCAAACAGTGCCCTTTGCTTGGGGGACGCAGGAGGCGGTAACTAAAAAGTAATCCCACATTTTTAGTACTCAGGGCCTTATTTTCTCAATATGGTCCCGACCACATTTTCTCAATATGGTATTGACAGTCAGAATATGAGCAAGGATAGGTGGTAATATAGCCAGCTATGTCAGCTGTTATTTAAGCTGCAATTGCATGCATGAAGCCTAATTAACCAAGACTATTCAAAATCTGGGCATGTATTTGCCATTTGCCATTTACCCTTACAAAAGTCTCTGTGTACTTTATGGCCACTGGACAGAAGCTTTCTTGACCTACCCAGCAAAAATTAATTTAATTTCTGATGTTAACTTGCTCTTGTCTTATGGACTTTCAGTCACTTTCTGGAGAAAAATGTGTGCAGAATTAAGGTCAGAATTGGTAGTAAGTCTTTTGCCAATCAAAGTATAAATCTGAAGCATGTGAAACCAATAGTTCTTTACCTGAAAATAATTTTAAGAGATTATGAGGATGACACACTTTGCCATCTATACAGGACCACTTTGCAAGTTGTTTTAGAAATTGATTGTTCCTAAAAATCATAACAACAGAAATGACAACTGATTAATTTTTGCTCTTGATATTCTACAGCTAATCAATAAGAAAACACTTGAAAAACTGTCTCATTTCTTAGTGTTTTCACTGAATTGAGAGAGAAATCACTGAAGAATACCCAGGAAAGTAATTCTTCATGAGTCACTGGAGGATGGCTTCAGCATCACGAGTCTATGTGACAGTTGTGAAGCCATCTACCAGCAGTAGTTGTACTTACAATGAACTAAATAATGTTTACAAAAATTAAGACACTGTGGCGGTGTCTGAGGAAGTGTGACATGTAGGATTGTCCTGGTTCTGAAACTTTTACTGGTGTTTTGGTCTATGTTAGCTGCAGGCTGAACTGAATACATGGTCGATGTTAATAACCTCACTATGCATAGCTGCAACCTAGAGCTATAAAGATCTATACTGAAACCTCCTGAGATTTGCACATTCAGATGTGGATTCAGACCATTGGCTGAACTTTTATGGTGGGGAAGGGGTCTATTATTTTTGCTCCACTTCCTTTGGAAATTATACTTTTAAACTCAGCTTTAGGCTCATCTTTCCTTTAAGTAACGTATCTGTAGGAAAAAAAACACGATTAATAACGCCTCAGAAAAAGAGATTTTTTTTTTTTTTTTTCCCCTGGGCACAGGGCCCAGTTCTGCAGCTTTGGGCAAAATCTATCTCTACAGCTCAGATATACTGGAAGGTAGGCAGGAGGCATCCTGACCTTTTCTTCCTGTCTACCATTTTTATTTTTCTGAAATTTAATGGGGAGAAAACTGATGGGATTATGTGGAAGGTACTTAAAAAGAGAAGACATGGCTGAATCCAGCCTGTAGTGTACTTCAAAAGTGATTTTTTTTTCTCTTCCTTCAATTCTACAAGAGTGTTCAAAAAATATGTATCAGAAGAGGTTGAAAGCTATGTTGGGCCCTGTATGAATATCTAAGGAAAAGCTTAATAGAAAAATCTTTACCATTAGGAGTTTTTCTATACAGGACCTACTCAAGCAACTAGGTTGGGATGGTTTTTGTAAAGCCAGGTTGGCAGCTCTGTCGGAAGGAGCGTTACCTGCAGCTAGTGAAAAATACAGCACAAATATCCCTGTGCAGCCTTTTAGAATAATCTTATGACAGCACCGGTTTGCTCCCAATACTTTCATGAGTCCTTCTGCTGAGGACTAGCTTTTTACCCTATATGTACGTGTAACTGCTGATGGAAATCAATGGGAGGTTTGTATTTGTGAAGCCTGCAGGACCAGAGATCAATAGCACTCTTTTAGTCGGAGGCAGGAGGTACAAAGCAGCCTGCCTCCCTTAGATGTTACACGGGCTACTGGAGGGACACGGGCTGGGCTTCAACCTGTCCATGGCTGCCTCCCGAAACCTTGAGAGCTGAGGATAGCTACTAGGGATAGGCCAGTTACTTTTGTTTCCCATATATTGTTTTACGTGTCTTGTAGGTCCCATACCAGGCTCCTCATTCATTCAGCTGCAATATATTCTGATTGTGCGATTCACTCGTGAGGGCAGAGGAATTGATGGAGCTTCTTTTGAGGATCTTGTTTATGATGTCTTTCCATGTCTTCTTGTACTGATGCCGTAGCAAAGAGTACACAAAAGGGTCTGAAACAACTTTGCTATAAGCTAAGCACTTGGAAATGATTCCCCAGTGGGAATTGATGTGGACCACAGAGGATAATTCAACAAGTCTGTGGAAAGAGGAAAGTTGAAAGAGTGAATATTCGTATTAAAAACATGGAGCAACAACAGAACTGTAAGCCAATGACCCTCCCAAAACCCCAATTTATTCCTGGGCAATTGCAAGAAAGCAAAAGCAAAGAAAACCATACTCATGAAAACGTGAATATAGTCCTCCCCTTATACATTTCTAAGACTGCAAATGTAAACTTGAGGTCTGTTTCCCAAGGATGGGACTACACAGCTCCTGTCAGTGTGTCTTGACCTCCAAACTTCAAGGCATCCTTGACTCTGTACATTTAGCTGTACATTTACTGAGGCTGGAAGTGGACTTTGGATGTGTTGCCTCCTAAAAGGCTCTCTTGATCATTTGCCTCAATAAATGTTAAAGAATTTATTGCAAAATGGAATAGCTCCATCAGGATATGAGGCAGTCTTCAAAAGATCCTATTTATTTGTTATTGGAATACACCTTTTGGAGACTAAAAACTGAGTCCAAATCTCTGATGTAGAGCTGGGTTTTCAACTCATCTGGCTCACTCAGGCCATCAAGATACTTGATAAAGGGGCATCCCATCTCTAGAGTACTGTAACTTAGCCGTGTTTTTACTGTCTAGTGAACACCATGTTTGGAATCATAAATACTCTGTGGTAAGCAGGTCAACGCTTCATGGAATGTTTACTGCTGATGAAAAATACCGTGCAGCATCTACTCATAAAATCATTTGCTACATAACATATCCTCAACCATTACACTTTTAGTCTCTGTGCCAAAACTTACCCATACAGACAATGTGTGTTACTTTCTCTGATGACTCTAGGGTTTTCAGTCCTAATAAGATCTCTTGTTAGACAGTAACATTTCACTTCATTTTTTTTTCTTCATTTAGTGCTTTTGTTTTGTGCATTTTTCTAGTAGTGTGTGTCATAAGATTGTGTTTCTGGTAGCTAAAGTTCATCACAGACTTAATATAGCTCTAGAGGGAATGAAAGGAGTATAATCTCCCCAGGTATGTTTCCTGATGACTTTCACACTTATTGTCAGCATTGAATCCATTATGGACAACAAATTTAACCCCAAGTATTGTAAAAAATTATTTCTGCATAGCCTAACAATATTTTCTAAATATTTATGTAAAACCATACTTTGAGCTCTAAAGTTTGAGATTGGGACACAAAGTTCCATTGGTCTCATGCGAGTCATATTCCCCTACCATTAGCTATCTAAAAATCCAGCATCTAGTCTGAACTCATGGTTCCAGGTCCCCTCTAGAGTACCTGAGAAACCACCTCACCGGTGCTATCTACCTTCCTTAGCCAGGCCAGCTCCTAGAGAGAGAGTTCGATGCTTTTAAACGGTTTGTCTAGGTCGCAGGAGAAGCACACAAGGAAGGAAAATTCGTCACTGAGAGATGGCATAATACATCTTGAATTTAAAAACTGGTCACTTGAAAGGCCAAATATATACATTTGCAACAAATTTAGCGAGGCAAAACTTTTAACTCATTAGGGGAGGGAGGGAGAGAGGGAAGAGCTTTATATACTCCTCATACCTACACGAGCACAGATAGTTCACTTTGTACTGAGACAGAATATTTTTGACAGTGAAATATTGATAACTCCACAAGGTTTTCTTTCCTGGCGTCTTTGAGCAACACCGAAGGGCAGTTCTGTTCAATATGTCTCTACAGCTGTTGAGAAACAATTGATCTTTCTAGGGGACGAACAGCCGCATGTGCTGCTAGAGAGCCCCACTATGCAATGGCAAGTAAGTTCTTTGCTGAAACTGTCTTCAGCTCTTAAAGCTGCCTGGAAAATACTTCAGTTGCTGATGTTTCTTCAGACAAAGCACCATTTCCAAGGAGCATTCTGAAGTGTGGTTCCTGCAGCAGCAATGACAATAGCGTTGGTACTTCAAGCAGTTTAGAGATAAGGATTTTTTTCCTCAGTCATTTTATTCTCATTCCATAAACTTTCACTACATCGTGTTGTTTAAAATAGCGCTGGCAGATGGCATGGCCCGGTCATTTGAGCACAAAAGTGGGACTAAGGAGCCTTAATTTGTTACACCACTGACTACGAACTTCTGTCTTCTCTCTCCATTCTGGTTTGCCTAGACTGCAAACTCCATGGCAAAAGCACTGCTTCTTCCTGGGTGTGTGTGCTGGGCTTAGCACCACGGGTCTGCAGCCAGGGCTGGGGCTTTAGCCGCTGTCACAGTGTTGGTAATTCTAATACCGAGAACAGTTTTGTGTGCTTTGTGCTAGCAATTTGATCACTTTGTGTGTCACTTCCATTGGAAGTGAGGCGCACCTATACAATGGCGTTTTTAGGGGTGGTGACATTAGCCAAAATACTCTGGGATCACAGACGTGTCAGGCATTTGAGGTGACCAGGCTGTGTTACTTGAAAATACCTGGGAGTTGCTCTTGCCCCTCCACCGGTGCCGCAACTTTGAGATACCAAGGAACCGCCATCTATCCCATTTCTCTCTACTTTCATCTCGCCTATTCTTTCAACCTCTCCTTGTAACTCACGACTGATATCTTTCTTACAAAGTAGGATCCAAACTCAGACATAATTATCATCTACTCAAGCTGCCGGGGTGTCTCATCTGGTGTATTCTCTCTTGTTTAATAAAATGTAGCTTATGACACCCACGTTAATATGCTCTAAAATGAGAATTGACTATTTGGAAATTAATCATGTACTGAGTCATATTTACTTTGTAATCTACCATGAGCCATCCTTCTTCTTGTTATTCTCCACTTCACATATTTGATGCCTTCTTTGCATTTTTAATTTCATCATGTTGAATTTCATCTGGTTGATTTACTTTTACCGAGTGCTTTACACATGTGAATTTGATTAAGTTTGATTAAATTCAGTGGATGCCTTGAATGACCAAAATATGACAAATTTGTATCTGAGTCTCCGTCAATCAGTTCTACGAGATGTTAATAATCTCCATTTAAAGCATATCAAATAGACACTTCAGGGTTGCAAGCCTAGAGTTGCTAATTTTACCTTCATTGACTGATCAACTAAAAAGCCTACACTTTTATTGACAGAATTTTAAATATTTTCTTTGATTATGTTCCCTAAGTGTCCTTGATATTTACTCATTTTGCAACTCTTGCGTATTATTTTTTTATAGTAAATTACATTTGCAGATATCAAGCAGCAAACACAGAAATGCAGACAAACCCTAAGCTATGCAATTCCATTTTGTGTACAAACAATTAAAAGTCAGTCTTTCAAGGCATATCACATACTTTATTGCCTTTGAAAGAGGGCTTTGTTTCTCATTTATGAGGGAAATTATATGCATAGCTTCAATTTTCATTAAAAGTTTCAGCCAAAAAGAAGACATTTTCAGTGAAGGAGCATTAATAATTCAGTGCTACCTGTAAATTAAATTCTACAGTATCAACTACATAATTCCCTGTCTTGCTTTCATAAGCCACTCTTCTACTGTCTGGTCTTCAATACCTTTTATTTCAAAGCTATAAGCTGTTTTGCTGTGATACTTTGTTAATATTTTAGAAACTTATAATCCTGTAGCATGCGTCATGTCAAACGGCTATCCAATTATTTTATTTCACTTTCAGTAAACAAATGTGAATGCTATGTTGAAGAGTAAGACCTTGATCTTTTAGGCAGATAATACACTGAAAACCCTTTATATACATGTGAAGTTTATTACTTTAGTAAAATATTTTACTGAACATCTATACATCCAGCTGGAGGCTACTACAACGGCAACATATCTGTTGCGCATTGTTTAAACCTGAGAACTTAACTGAGTTATGGAGAAAATTCTGAATAGACCAGAGTCTCAAACAAGCTAAAGGGTCTTGCTGTTCAGGAGCGAAACAAAGCTGGCACTGCATTTTGGAGCTGGTGGATGATGAAGTTCTCATAAGAAGAAATTCAGTCCCTTCCCCAAGAATTTGGATCAGCTCTTTAAGCTTGCATTCCTAACATTTCTGTTTGTGTCTAATTCTGATTTTTTTTTTCCCCACACAAGTCCCATAGTATCAGAATTAGACCCTAGTTGGTTTTTTTTTGTGTTAATGATATGAATAAGCTGACTACGAGTCTTATTTTGATCTTGATGTTGATTTTACTTTATTTTCACTTTATTGCTTGGTAGATTGAATCTTTTGTACGCTGTCTCACTAGTAAAAAAGCCCTGTTCTAATCATTGCTTCTTGACACAAAAATGACATCGCGGTGATTGTTAGCTGATTTACCCTTAGCCAGTTTCGCCTCTTAAGTGGTGCATGTATTACAACTGGCCAGCTTCTGTAAGGAAGCAGACTTTTGGACTCTTGTAGCTAATTTTGCAAATCTCTTGTAGCAAATCTTGCAAACCATTGCTTTTAGCTGTTGCTCTTCCCCAGAGCTGCAGGAACAACCTGTCAGCCCAGAGATATGAGGATAGCAAGGCATCACAGAGACATGATGATAGCAAGCAGCACTGTCCGGCTTGTACCAAAAGGTTTTTCTATCCAGGAGGAAAATATCTCTACCTCACATCAGCTGAGACTTTTGATGAAGACTAGAAGACCACTTTTTTCGAATACATCAACCTAAGATTGCATAGGAAAATCATGCATTTATGGCACAGACAGGCAAGAACATAACTCACAGAGGAATTCTGAACTTGCTTGTCTACCCGAGCAGGATCTGCATGCAGAGGACAGGCAACCACTTTAAAGACACAGTTTGTTTATTCCTTGTCCCCCAGAGATTATACAAGAGAATTTAAATCTTCTTCTGCCTGTTCCAGCATGCTCCTCTGTAACCTTGGGGGCTATGCGCTTGGGGCTATGAACTTCTATGGGCTTGGGGCTATGAATTTCTTTCTGATATTGCTTCAGGATTTTTAATTTAAAGTCAATTTCCTCACACATTGACAGCACTTATTAACTTACATAAGCAAAGTTCTGTATTTCAGTATGAAATGCCTGGAGTTGAAAATTAATATTAGATATTGGTATGACTTATTTTAATTTTTCTTATGAAAAAGCTCCTTGGAGAAAATAGGTTTTGAACAATGTTATTTAACCGCATAATGATAAATATAGCAAAAGAAGAGATATGTACTAACAGAATTTTTACAAACCAGGAAACAAGCTATGCCTAGAAATAAATAATACAGGGTAATAGATCTGTCATTCTGGTACAGTGGAAACGAATCAAGAAGAATCAGATTTTACCGATACACTATTTAAGGTCAGCCACTGAACTAATTAGAGGGGTGTTTTCTTGATAAAATGGTGCCTAATCTGATTTTTACCTTAATGTAATCTGCAAAACTCTGGTTTACCCAGAGAAGAATTTATCTGGCTGTTATAAGCACAACTCCTTCATTGGTTCATGGGATTGCTAGAGACAACTATTCGTTTTTAGTGTGGAAGCAGAAAGATGTCATTATAGTAAAGCCTTGTGATTTGCTGCTTTCAGGCCTCAATTCATGAAGTAATTAAAAGCATGTTTAATTTAAGCACATTGCTGATTAGAACTGGCTGTCCAATTGAGAGGCTGAGCAATACACTTTCTCAGCTCTCTTCTGTTCACTGCCTTGAACTGTGATTGATTGCCTCGAACTTGTGAATGCACAGCGCTGGACATAGTCCAGAAAATAATATTTGCTTACGTAATTAAGCTCAAAATCCCCTTGACTTCAACACCCTCAGCCATATGCGTGAGGCATAGGGAAGCACAGTAATGCACGTCCTTGAACACCCGTCCACGCGGCGTTGTGTCCAGCAAGGTCTCTCAAGTAGCTAAAGAGGGAATTCCCTGAAGCCTGTTGTGCAGCGATCCCCCCAGACGTGCCAGAACTGAAAAGGCCAGGAAAGTGATAGTCTTTGCCCCAGCTGGCACACCTGGCCAGTGCCCAAGCCTACCCCAGTGCAGGCAAGCACGTTCAGGACCCTACGTTTGGACTCTTCTCGTCATCTCTCTCTGTGGCAAAGCTATTAGTCCCCAACAGACTGAAGACACGGGAACATTTAAGTGATCCTGGCATGGACTAAAGGGAGGAGGCTCAGGATTTTTCTAATCCCTCTTCTGTACCTTAAGGCTACTGGGACACAAATTAGGATGCCTCAGAGGTAAGAGGAGGTGGAGAAGTGGTGCCGGAATGCTGGGCTGAGGTACCTATGGAGGAGCACAAAAATACTTCTGGCAGTTCTGGTTAAAGCAGTCGGCATCACTCAGGACGGAGCCGCAAGCTATTCTGTGACTGCAAAAATTTTCATTAAGTTCAGAGACCCAACATAAAATGAAAATTAACCATTTGCAATGAGACAAATACTTTAATGTCTTATAGCCTGAGAACTAAATCTAAATGTCCATAATTATAAATCCTTTCACACCCTTTCAGAGTGTGTGGCATGGAGCGTCTTCTTGTGACTGCTAAGTTAAAGTGAAGGTAAATCTAGTAACGCTGTTACAAATCTATTTGCAACATTGTTACAAATAAACAGCATGAATCAATTAGCTATTATTATCATGAACATAAAATCAATGTGACATGCAGGTTTCCATTTTTACCAAGAGACTACAAGACCTTCTTGTGAATTGTTTTGTTAGAAATAGAAATTCAGGATATTATACTGAATTGGAAAAACTTGGGATTGGCTACATGCCCACTTATACTGAGTCTAATTCAGCTTTTTCAATGATTTTTTAAATGATGAATCAGAGTTTGACTGAAGTCAGTCAGACCCAATAATTTCTATTTGATAGTATTGTGATAGGTGAGACTTTAAAAATATTTTTTTCTTTCTGTGTTCTGTATAGCAGCATTTCAGTTTTTCCAGAGTCTTTTAATAAGGAATGCAAGTTGTAAATCTCCTTCAACAGCTAGATAACACTTTTCTGGTTATACTCACTTTCTAATACTTTATGTTTCATAGGAGTAAATTTGTGTTTCCCACAGGAGCCGTTTCCAAAGATAAGCCAGTAGATAGATAAGTACATCTGACCATAAATCACAAGATTTTTTTTTAGCTATGAGCCAGAACAGCTTTGATATTTGATGTTTATGACTAATAAACTCTATCCACTCAGACAAAACTATTGTTTAAGTTTGTGGACCATGTTCTCACCTCAGTTGGATCTTGTTTGACCACATTTTTATAGTCTGACCTATTCAGACAAGCGTCTTCCCCTGCAGATCACCCCCTGAACTGGGGAGGCAATCTGCGGAGTAGGTGACTACTTGACCCCAAAAAAGTTTGCAAAATCCTGTGGACTGACTTCCTAAATCACTCCCATGCGACCAACATATTGACTGGGCTGACTGAACAGAGTTTGGACACAGGTTGCATCAGGATTGTATCAAAGAAGTGCTATGACATTTTATATAGTTTTGTTAGCTCAGTAAACGCAATCTCTGTCGTAGGAGTGGAAACAGCATTTTCACAGGAGACTTGAATCATTTTCTGGTTCAGCGTGCCCTACTTCTCTGAGTTAAGAGTGCATCTCAGTAGTCTTTTCCAGGATGTAGGTTCACACTTACCTTGTAATTACATAAGGTGCAAAACAAAGTATAAAAGTACCAATAAAGGTACTTATTTTCTTTGTTGCTCGCTGCCTCCGTCTCTTTTGTTCTTCTAGACAACGCTCTCTTACGCTGTGTGACATTCAACACAAACAAAAACATGAATCATAATATCAGGTAGCAGATTTTAATGGCTTTACTTATGGAATGATGGAAATCAATCGTTCCAGTAAGTGCTGTATTCACATAAGCCAATACCAGGTGCACTGCATTTATATGGGACAATAGCAAGTATTAATGCATTGTATGATCGCCTCACCCTCCAAAAACAACTACTGAGAAACACATGATTATATATTTATATGCACACACCCCATTATATCGATTTGTATGTAGTCAAATGGGTGGAATTCAGCCTTGAATTCAATTGCAGCTCCTTTTTGAATAACTGTGAGCCGTAATTGCAAGCCAGAGTTTGCCTCATGATATTCAGAGATGTGGAAAATATCCAGAGTGGGGTAGGCAACGTGCTACTTCGCTAGAAACAGCAATTCCAACACCACTATGTTAGATAGGAGAAACTTCCCAGCAAGATAAGCAATAAAACACAATAAAATCATAACAGGAAAAAAACATGCTCTGAACATTCAGTCCAACGTCGGAGCAATCGCTATATCCCACAGCTGTGAACCGCGTGGCCATAAATCTTACAGCAGCCTGTGCAGCTCTGCACAGCCGCCGTGCTGAACGCTTCGCAAAGCTGGGAATTATAGAACAGATCCACAGCGCTGTGATGTTCTGACCCCTGGCCTCAAAGCCTTGCTCCCGGCTAAACCGCTACAAAATAGTCACACCCTGCGTTTTTTCCTACCTGTGGCATTTTAGGACAAGAGCTTCCCCTTTGAGTTTCCCGGTGGTGGTCTCAGCAGGTCACCAGAATGCTGCTAAGACCCTCGGTGTGCCAGCAAGGTGATGGGAGCTCGGGGCTGAGACTGCGCTTCCACTGTGGGAAATCCCCTTTGAAAGCAGCACCTTTGCTTGCCAAAAGAGTGAAAAGCCAACCTCCTCCTCTACCCACTTGTGTAACTCTTGTGTTGGCTGTGCATTTTGAGGGAAGTGGATGAGTTACTGACTTCTCCAGGCAGGTAGGTTGGATGGGCAGCACTGGTTGTATCTCCCAGAGCCCCAGGGCCTTCTGTATCTGAACTAGTCCCTTTGGGAAAGAGCAAACCCGAAGCCAGCCTGAAATCCCTCTCTACGCACCTAGAAGCGCTGCTGCTTGTTGACTTATTGCACAGGTCTCGTGGTAAAGCAATCCCATGTCTCGGGCAAACCGAATGGTCTGGCCCATGTGCTGCATTTTGTAACTGCTTGGCATTGGTCTCTCTGTTTTTATTGTAAATTGGTAATCAGTGACTCACCGTCAGGTTCCACACGCGCATATGTTAATAGCTGCGAGGTTTATGGCCATACCCTTATGTTGTTTGCTGTACCTGCAAATGTTTGATCAACATCTAAATGCATCTCAGTGTTCTTCGATGATCCCTGAGGCAGTGAGTTCTTCTGTTACCTTCTGGTTGTGTTAAGGAAAACGTGTTTCCGTCGATCCATTTTATATATGGTCTTACACTGCCAGTCCCCAGAGCAGCTACCATGATGGCAAAATGAACAAAATACTGGAGGAAAAGGTTTTTCTGCTTGAAATAGCAAATCGTCTCACTCTTAAAGAATATGCCTAAGTAGAATGAAAATGCATCGAAAAGTGTTACATGTTCTATGTCTGAGTTATTTGCAGCAAGAAATGGCAGCTGAGAAGGAAAAAAAAAAACCCCACCTTTTCAAGGGAACCTATGTGCTTTCAGTTCTGCAAGGGCTGGAGAACTTGGAGTATTTTTAGGTGCAGACAGATGATCTTAGAGGTTTGACAGCTTTGCTTAAGACCTGTGTTGTTAAATTCATAGTATCCCAGGCACATGGCAATATAGGAAAAGAAATCTTTAAAATAGGTTCAATTAGGGTGTTAGGGTGTAAGAGGGTGGTGTATTTTTGGTCTCTAACAGTTTCCCCAGTTGTGTCTTTTCCCTATTGGCACATACAAAGCTGACTTTGATTCCTGGAGCTCACACATGACTTGGGAAGTCCTGATACACTTCAACCAATTTCTTTTTTTCAGCCTTTCCAGACGTAACTAATAAATACCACATCACAGAGGAAGGTATTTTATCTCATTCCTTCATGTAGACAGTGTACACAGATGGGTATTTTGCTTTTGCACACACTTTTATGCACTAAGATAAGAACATATATGCAAGTTCTAGTAGTGACACTAGTAATAGAACTGGATTATTGACTAAGCTTTCACTTAAAGATTTTAATATCCTGGAAAATCTGAGATATATCCCTTTGAAGGTTTGGTATTTTAAACAAAGTTTATGAGATACTGGACCTTAAGATCTGTAAAGCTGGATACACCAAAAAGATAGTATAGATAATTTGGGTGAAGAAACACATAGGTTAAGCACTTAAGTGAAGTCTTGCCCAAACCTCTCACAATACCTAAGATACGTTGGTCTTAAGAACAAAGTCAAGAAAAAGCAGTATCCAGTAAAAATGCCTAAGCTAACTTGAAAGGACATGTGCCCTAAATATTCACATGATTTTGTGTGGTATTTAGAGTTTTCCTTTGTACTCATCTTGAATGATCTTCAGAAGATCCCTCGTGTTTTTCCAAGTCACAGGTAATAAAGCCATCTGTCATAACGCCTCTCGCTAGACCCCCTTGCGGGTGGATTCTGAGTCATAGGAAGCAGAAAATTGTCCGTACACATTTCTCAGTGTTGAAACTAGACCATGCAAAAAGCCAGAAAAATCAGGGTAGTCTAAGGTGGGACCAAGGAGAGAACTTTGTTCTCTCATGTGCCTTCTCCCAACATCCATGTCTATGCTCTTAGGTACTATAGTAAACTCTGAAATTGCCTGTGTATATACCACTTATATAATTCAAATGGTGCCTTTGTTATGTCAGAGCTTTATGAACATCACTGACTGCTCCAGGAGACCTGCAGCCTTTGTGTAGCTCTCACAGTAGGGAAGGCAAGCCGAGCTCTGACCCTTCCAGCGGCGGTAGCTGTCACCAGTTAAGGCAGCACCACTCTAGGCCAAATCAGCCACCATTTCTGTAGTCTAGAAAAGAAGCTAAAACTCTTTTCTTAGAGAGAAGCACTAGAATAAGCTGGTGCAAGAGATAAATAATGGTTAGTAATAGATGACTCGCAGCAAAGTGCCTATACAACTCTGTCTCCTCTGAAGAAAGGAGGTATCATTCCCACCGCCCCATTGAATCCACCCCTCAGTGAGATGATGCAGGAACACCCTCAAATTAACCTAGACCAGAAAAAATGCAGAGGAGGAGAAATACGATTGAGATTTTTGCCCTTTTTCTAAGCTTTGCTGGGCAGTCCAGGCATACTTTAAGCATTAGGCATAACGATTGCTATTTCAAATAGCCCAGTGGGTCTGTGGCACTGTCCTGGGAGTAACCACCACATCTCACAGTGCGTGCAGGAACTAAGACCAGTTGAGGCACAGTTTAGCAACCAGACAGCACGTAGGGCAGACGGGTGTTTTTTCCTCTATGTGACTTGGTGGATAAGGGAAGATTTATACATGTGTTTCTCAAGAAGAGTAACGGGACTTGCCCGAAGTTCTGCTCTGCATTCTTGGTCAAGGGACAGATCAGCTTAACTGGAGAATTTTGAGCAAATGTTTCTGTTCCTCTAACAGTGTGCTGTCCTGCCCTGATCCTTTCAGACTGATTTGCCTTAGGCTTAGGAATCCCCCAAATATGACCTTTTTCTGAGGACAGCCACATGTGCTTTCAGTCCCGCAGCTCTGCTCCTGGCTGGCTGCAAAGCGAGAGAGCTGGTGTTCGCCTCCAGCTTGCAGAGCAAAGGACAGCAAGGGGGGTCAGGTAGGATGTCTGGCGTAGGACTGCCCTCTTCAACTGCTCTCGGCTTTCCTCTCTTCCAGGCAGACTTCTTCCCCCGATCAGACACCTCCCCGCACTGCCAGCATTTTTCTGAAAGACATTTCCCTTCCCTTCAGTCTCTGACAGACAGTCTGAACCTTAAGATCCAGTCTCTGACTGTCTCCCAAGCAGCACACGCATCCCTCACAGCCTCTCTGTCACCCGACATAGCCAAACCATTTTCTCCTTTTTTTCCAGGCAAAACCATCAGATTTTTCCTTTTCCAATCACCTGCTCCAGCCACACTAAGCCCTAAGCCAAACTAGTTCCTCTGAGCAAACCAGGCTGATTTCTTTCCACACTGTGAGCAGTACCTCTGTTTTCCCCTTTCCAGAGCTCGCTCGTTGACTCTGCCACCCCGTCCCAGTCATAGCTGGGTCTTAGCCCCCTCCGCCCCAGCTCATCGCAGCCTCTCAGCCCTCAGCCAGGACACGCTGATCCGTCAGCCACCCTGTCCCATTCCATCCTGCATCACCTGTGCAGGTTCATTTCTCCATTTCCCAAGCCGATCACTCCGGCTCGTCCTGCTGCTCCTTTCTCACCAGCCCAGTCCCACGTCCTTCCAGCCGTGCCTGTTTTGGTCCTCTCCATTTCCTCCTCTCCGCTTCTCGTGGGCAGAGACATTGCGTACTCACAGCACACGCTGACTTCTTTCTCCTCCGTGCACCAGGCACCTTCCCCAGCTCCTCGCCAGGATCACTGCCTGTCCAGCACCGACCTTGGGCTTCCATCCAGCAAGGCTTTCTCTCCTTCAGCTTTACCGCTATGTTCCCCTTACTGGCCCAGGGAAAACTGCCTGTCCCACCCTCCCTCCTCCAGCCAAATCTGCATCCCTACCAGATCCAGGCATAGCCTATTCAAGCAAGATTTATAGTTTGTGCATAATCCCTGATGTGACTTTTCTGCACAGCATCCTAGCACACATTCATACCCTTGCCTTCAAGCCCATTATCCTCCCAGCCCCCGGAGACTTTTCTCCTCCTGTGCTTAAGGACTAATTTGAAATGAACTTTATACGTCCCTCGCTTGTCATATTAACATCGCTACTGAAGTCTCTCTCACTTGGATTTAAGTATAGGCATCCAAGCGTATGCGTTTTGCAGATGTTATTCCTTTATAATTCTGCCTTCAGGAAAGATAAAGTTACAGAGAGCACAGCAATAGGGAAAGCGCCGGGCGAAGGAGCGGCACGCAGCGCCCAGCTTCCCTTCTGAACTCCGAGGGAAGGGACATGTGCAGCCTCAGCCTGCTCCCTCTCAGGCATCCAGCAGCGTTTTGGGCTGACAGTGCCAACAAAATGCAAATCTATCGAGCACTAAATCCACCTTCAGAGACAAAGGGCAGTGATCTGATCACTATCTCGAAGGGAAGTGCATGCTCAGCCAAAACTGCCTGTTTCTTTGCTCTCCCTCCCAAAACAAGCCCTTAAAGCATAACAAAGAAGAGTTGCTTCTACAACCAGAAAAATAAACACAACTAAAAAGAAACATGCAGAATAGAAACTGGCAAGAAGGATGTTTGTTTTCTCCCCCTCCCCATCCCCTGCCGCGATACAGAACAGACTGTGTTTAACATAACACCGAACCCGTCCTCTCTTCCTCTGCGGTGAATAGTCTCACTTGCTGAACACACAGGCACCTTACCTGGGATGGATGTCCACAAGCAGCACCAGGGTCTGCATAGTGATCACGTCAATCCGCTTACAGTGAAACCGTGCCACCTTCAGCACTTTTAGATATGTGAAACACAGGACTATAAGGGAGAGGAGGAAGCTGAGGGTGTGAAAAACCCCAGTGAAAATCACAAACTGTGTCCTATCCTCTGGTCTCTTGTTGTACAAGGTGCAGGAGGCATAGAGGTGATGGAAACCCACCCAGGAGAGAGAAGCTGCCACTATCGGGAACGACACCGAGTGTAACCACGTGTAGCTCAGTATGAGAGCAGCATCTTTGTACCTCATTTTGGAGTGATAACTTAGAGGGAAGACCACAGCAATCCATCTGTCAATGCTCAAAGCTGCCATGCTCAACATGGAGTTCGTGGTGAGAAAAGTCTCCAGGAAGCCCACAATTTGGCAGATCTGATCTCCTCCTGGTTGACTCTTGTAAATGATCCCAGCCAAGGTCAGGGGCATGTTCGAAACAGTCATCAACAGGTTGCAGAAGGTGAGGTTGAGGATGAACAATCCCGGGACCTGCTTGCGGATGTCAGCGCTGTATAGGAAGCACATCAGCACCAGCACGTTGGCCAGCAGGGCCACGAGCATCAGCACCACCACCACGAAAGCCAGGATCACCTCCCAGATGCTCATGGTGCGTCCAGTCACAGGAGGGACATCTCCGAAACTGCGCCGCGCCGGCACCCGGGGAACATGGTGCGAGGCGCATTCACCTCGCCCTCCTCCCCAGCCTGCTCGCACTTTTGCATGCCCTTCGTATTTTTAGAAGAGCTGCAGTTTTTTTCTTCAACCTCCCCCTCCTCGCTGCTCCTTTCCACGTCAACGCTTTCCGAGACGTGCACAAAAGCACTGGGAATGCCCATCAAACTGCGAGGAGGGCTTAAAAAATATCAGCAGGACTGAACCACTGTCTCCATTCGGTCCATTCGAAGGAGAGCAGGTTATTCTGAGAAACTGCTCTCCTGAGATCCCTAATTATCAGCCCCAAGCTTGCTAGCAATCCACCGAGTGAATTGTGCTCTCTTTCTCTCTTGCTTTCTGTCTGTCTCTCTCTCTCTCTCTTGCTCTTTCTCTCCCCTCCCCTCTCCTCCAACCCTCACTCCCTTCCAAGCTGAATGTAACCTGCTTTTTATGATCACAGATAAAAACCCCATTAATGGATTAAAGCATGCACACTGCTGGTGATTCGCAAACGTGATTATGTCATCCCGACTCCACAACCCCTCCCCTTCTCCTTGCGGTTGTGCCTAGACTTTCCTCAAGAGAAATCCCATGCTTTCATTTAATTGATTTAGCCATTAATTTGCAAACAGCCATGTAACCGAATTCCTGCGCTCCAGCGTGTTTCCTACATTTCGGTGCATCACTTTCCCAGTTGCTGCTTGCTCTCAGCCAGGGCAGGGGCTTTCTTTTCTCTTCATTAGCTGTGCTCAAAAAGATGGGGAAAAATGGATATATTCTGCTACTTCTCTGGAGCTGTCATTAGGCTACTGGAATGGTTTTACTGCTCTAGTTTAGCACTTTGCAGTCCTGTGTCTCCAAGCACGATGCGTAGGAGGAAAATGATTGCCTCCCCTCCTCCTTTAAAAGCAGGGAAACCAAAGCCCCAAATGCCGCTGTAACATGCCCAAGGTCACAGAGCAGGTGAGTGGCAGAGGCAGCAACGTGCTGCCGCTCTCGCTATTCAGTCAAGCTTTCTCCCCTTCAACAGCCTTTGCTTCTTCCTAATCAAAGCCTCCCTCCCTGTGAGGGTGAGCACCCTGTGAGATCAAAACCAAGAAGCAGCTTGACAAAGGAAATAGGAATGAGTCTGTATTGCACATAATTAGGCGTTAAAATTAAGTTTGTTTTAAAGGACGGAGTGGGAACGGTTTTCTGATTGCTTTTCCTGTCTCTTTAAAACAGTTTTAACTGGGGATGCTGAGAGGTGGTGAGCAATGTGGACAGCTTTCTCATCAAGGCAGCCTTAATCTCCGCACAATAAGAAGGCAAAAGATACCCTGCAGCACAGTTATTGTGGCTTAATAAGTGCCTCTGCACGTGTGCGAGAGCTAGATGCTTAGGCGGATTTTTCCCCTGTGCTCGCAGCCCTTGCCAGAGCCGGGCATGCTCGATTTACAGCAGCTATTCCTTGCAGACACTTGGGCTCGTCCCCTCAGCAGCAGAGCTGTCACCCTGCACGGTGTCAGAGCTTTGCATGTTGCAGGAAGGCCCCTTCTCTTCCACTTTTCTTTTGTTTTGTTTTCTTAAACCAGGTTTTAAAGGGCTGGTAGAGACAGAAGACTGTCATCGAAGACATCCAGGACAGTTTAGCTGGGTACGCAGGTCCTCGACACAGGCACTCGGTGGAGGAGGAGGGGTTCAGGGTGCAGAGCCCAGCTCTGTCCATGAGCCCCTGTCTCCAGAACACAAGTACATGTCCTCAAGCTGAGTGGACGAGGAGCAGGACTTCAGTGTCTGGTCTTTTCCTGAGGCAGGGACCCAAAGCCACATGCGAAAAGCCTACGGGTGACCCCTTCTCTAAATAAGAAGGTCCTTTTACCTCTTAGGAGAGGTAGGTTAAGGAGATGGGCGAGAAGATGCAGATTTTGCTGCATGGCACCAGAACCTCAGGAAGTTTCCTTCTCGGGTAGGAAGCCACAGCCCTGGCTGAGAAAGGTGTCCTAGCACCAACGGCCTGAGCAGGGTGTCCATGTTACAGTACCGAGCATGACGCCAGCTTAAAGCTTAGCTCAAAGACAGGCCCCCGGGAAGAGGCCGTGTGAGCTGGGAGGCACTGAGAAGAAAAACTGGGAAGTTTCTAAAGACCTGGCAAGACTTGGTAGGCTAGGAAGGACAGGGAAAAAGGAAGGGAAAACCTGGTGACATATAGGAGGCAGGTACTCTGTGACAGTGGTGGAGGGGAATCTCATGCCCACTTGGTGTCAAGGTGATACCTGACTCCTCCTTCCCATGCTCAGCCTTCTCCTTGGCTCAAATCAATCCTGCAAGGCCCCCAGCTGCACAAATCATTCAAGGCCCAGCAGCACAGGCACTGGATAATTTAGTCATTTATCTTGCCTTGCAACACACGAGGCTATGGGATGGTCTCCTGGAGCAGTGTGCTTTTTTCCCTTTAGCGAGCTGTGGTGCCTCCTGGATTCAAAAGCTCTGCTCGTGAGTAATTCCCTGGTGTGACAGGGCGTCTGGCATCAGTGTCAAGTCCAGGTAGACAGGGAGGGAGGAAATTTGCATCTGGAAATAAAGGATTAGGGATGACAGTTAGGAAAGGAGGATTCTCCCAAAGGGATGGATAAATGTGAAATAACTGGAAGGGAGATACTTCAGTGAAGCAGTGATGGAATATGAATGGTCAGATTCGGGGGTGGCATGGGATAGACGTTGCAGTGGACCTGTCGTGAGGGGGCCAATGTGGAGCTGATGTGGAGGAAACAGTGGACAAAGGGTAGTGGTGGGCTTATCCTGAAGGGCAGGAGAGGCCGGCAAGACTATGGACAGGCTCTGCTGGATCTCTTTACCGGAGAGCATACAGGAGTGGAGAAGCATATAGGAGTGGATAGCTGTAGGACTGTCAAGGGGAGACCCGCTGTCTCCTCCGCATGGTGTCTGACCTCCTTCTTCCAAGACCTGAGATCTCCCCCCTCTCCACCTAGCCCTTTTCCTCCTCAGAGTTTGGTAGGGTGCTGCTACCGTTCGTATCGGTGTGGGAAAGCGAAATTAAAGCAGCAAGTTTGGCATGTACTTGAGTAATTGTTGGGCTAAATGAACGAAGCATTCCTAGTCCTATGCTTCCCAGTTTACTCATTGCTTTGCCTTTTCCCATCAAGCTGTTCTGTGTTGTACAAGTTTCTTGGGTAAATAAAACATTGTTATCAGTAAGCTTAAACTCCCAGTGTTTACAGGAAAAATGTAGCGGCTAAAAAGGGCTTAAATCTACAATCAAGTGAAAAAGCTTTCTAGATTTCAGGAGAAAGCTGAAGTTTTCTCTTGATGACTGATTTGAGTCTCAGTATGTATATCTAACTCGAAAGGCCCAAGTAATTTACATAATTGATTCCCCTGCTGGTAATCCCTGAAGCTGAGGATATTTACTGAATGCTTCTGGATTTATTTATCATGCCTACCTAAGAGAGCATGATGGATCCATCAAATAGCTTCATTTTATACAAATCGGGAGGAAAGAATATGTTGTGCATATTTTATCACTGTAGAGGAAATGAATGTGTTGCCTGTGAGCTCCTAATGACAGGGACTACAAGTTTGATTTGTAATATTTCAATGACAGACTACGTTATGAATTAGCAATAAGCACTACTAATAAATATCAATTACCACCAGTGAACTTTGACAGTGTTGGGTCTGGGTTTAGAAGATCAGTCCTCCTTTGGCATTTGCTCCATCATCATGCACACAAAACCACAGAACATCCATTGTATTTTATATATATTAAAGGCAGAGGTGACTCTGTGAAGAAGGATGGCCCAGCAGAAAGAGCAACAGGCTGCTAACCCAGACCCCTGGGTCCGACATGACCACGGGGACACCAGTTCACCAAACCTCTCCTGTCTTTGCTTTGTCCTATAACCTCATGGGGACAAAGGCGAGGTCTTTGTACACAACGAGGCCCTGATCCTTGAGAGAGCCTAAAGGCCTTATCTTAATCAAATAATGAATTTTATCCACAAATGACTAATCCTAGAAGGATCACACAAATCTGTTGCCATTCTTTTACAACAGCCTATAGCTAATGGATTTGTGGCCTACATACCATGTGCATACCAGTTTACCCTGACGGAGATATGATTTGTACTAGTATCGTACCAAACCGGAGACATATTGCAACAATATGAAACTCCTCGAGATAACAGGTCAATTTATTACTCTCCATGTAGTAATTTTTATTACATTTTTGTCTATATTTGGCAATAGGCAAAGGCATGAAGCTGATTAAATCTTCAATATTTTGGGCTGACCTTTGAATTTCAAAAATTCTACAACATGTGGATGGAAGATTTGTCTTTGCTGGGGTGTTCATGAAGGGAAAATCTTTCTCTGCATGTTGTCCCACTGAGACTATGAAATAACTACTTGGGATAAATGAAATTGTCAAAGTTATGTCCAATATATCCCATATAGGAGGCTATTTTGATGACCTAACTAAAACATCTAAGGCACTCATTTCACAGGAAACTAATGTTTAAGGCTTTACACCACTGAGAAAACGACTTGAAAATCTAACCTGAAAATGCATTTGAGGTCTGATGCATTTCCTTTGTACTGAGAGTTGTAACTCTCCAATTTTTCTCTGTCAAATTTTAGGATCTCTGTTTCATGCTTTCACTGCACTTTCTTTCTCCTGTTGTCTCACCTACCTCCTTTGATCAGCAGCGTACAAACTTGTCAGGACTTCAATAACAGGAAGAGATTGTTTCTCCTTTATCTGTGTCTTAGCCAGTTCAAAGACAACCGATTTCCCCCGGGAAGCCAGTGTGCCTGCAGACAGCCCGGGGGTATTTCCTCTTGCCTCCATCAGCCTTTACTTTTGCTTCATGGCCGTTTGGAGAGCTTGCAATACATTTATGAACTGTAGAAGCGGGTCGTTTCACTTTATTGTCAATTAAACTAAACTTTAG